AATTTAACCAAGGAAGTAAAAGACCTGCTGTACTCTGAAAACTGTAAGACATTAATAAAAGAAATTGAAGATGATACAAATAAATAATGGGATTTACCATGCTCATGAACTTAATGTTTTTTAAATGTTCATACTGTCCTCATACTATCCAAAGCAATCTATAGATTCAATGCAATCCCTATAAAAATATCAATGGCATTCTTCACAGAACTAGAACAAATAACCCTAAAATTTAAATAAAATCACAAAAGACCCCAAATTAGTCAAAGCAGTCTTGAGAAGAAAAAAAAGTTGGAGGTACTACGATCCCTGATTTCAAGGTGTACTACCAAGTTATATAATCAAAACAGTATGATACTGGCACAAAAACAGATTACTCAGTTCGATGCAATAGCATAGGAAGTCCAGAAATTAAACCACACTCATATGGTTAATCAATCTATGACAGATGAAGCAGGGAATCTAAATGGGGAAAAGATGGTCTCTTCAATATATGGTGCTGGGGAAACTGGGCAGAAAACATGAAAAAAAATGAAACTAAACCTCCTTCTTACAGCATATACAAAAATATTTAAATGTAAGACCTGAAACCATGAAATTCCTAGAAGCAAATACAGGAACTAGAATCTTTGGCATCAGTCTTTGCAGTATTTTTTTGGTATGTCTCCTCAGATAAGGGCAATAAAAAGCAAAAGAATAAATGTGTCTACATCAAATTAAAAAGCTTTTGCCGACCAAGGAAACCATTAACAAAATGAAAAGACAACCTACTGAATAGGAAAAGACACTTACAAACGATATATTCAGTAAGAGTTTAATATCCAAATCATAATAAAGAACTGATACAACTAACATCAAAAAAACCCACAAACAATCCAATTTAAAAATGTGCAAAGGATCTGAATAGACATTTCTATAAAGATATACACATGGCCAAACGACAAATGAAAAGACGCTCCATATCACCAAGCATCAGGGAAATGCAAATCAACACCATAAGGTATCACCTCACACCTGTCAGAGTGGCTATAATCAAAAAGTCAACAAATTACAAGTACTGGCAAGGATGTGAGAAAAGGGAATCCTCCTGCACTGTTGGTGGGAGAGTAAATTGGTGCAGCTGCTATAAAAAATAGTATAGAGGTTCCTCAAAAATTTAAAAATAGAACTACCATATGATCCATCAATTCCATTTCTGGGTATATACCCAAAAGAATCAAAAGCAGGGTCTCAAAAGAGATATCTGTATACCCATGTTCATAGCAGCATTATTCACAATAGCTAAAACTTGGAAGAAACCCAAGTGTCTATTGACAGAAAAATGGATAAACAACATGCGGTACATACATACATACATATTGTACAATGGAATATTATTCAGCCTCTAAAAGGAACAAAATTATACAATATGCTACAATGTATGAAACTTAAGGACATTGTGCTAACTAAAATAAGCAAGTCACTAAAACACCAATACTGTATGATTCCACTTATATGAGGTACTTAACAGTAGTCAAAATCATAACCACAGAAAGCATGATAGTCATTACCAGGGGCTGGGATCAGAGGAAATGGAGAGTTATTTGTTTAATGGGTACAGAGTTTCAGCTTTATAAGATGAAAAAAGTTATGAGAATAGATGGTAATGGTGGTTGCACAACAATATGAATGTATTTAATACAAATGAACTGTATACTTAATAGTTAAGATGGTAAATTTTATCTTATTTGTATTTTGACATAATAAAAAAAAAAAAAAAAACGGAAGGAAATCCTGCCATTTGCAACAACATAGATGAACGTGCAGGACCTTTGGCTAAGTGAAATAAGCCAGACACAGAAAAACAAACACTGCATGATCTTACTTATTGAGCAATCTAGGATAGTCAAACTCAGAGAGGCGGAGTAGAATACTGGCTGCTAGGGTCTAGGGAGAGAGGGAAACAAGGATGTATTAGTCAAAGGATATAATTTCAGTTATATAAGATGAATAAATCCTAGAGACCTACTACCCAGCACAGTATCTATAGTTCACGATACAGTACTGTATACTTAAAACTTAAGAGTTCTAACTTCCAGCCAAGATGGAGGCATAGGTAGATACACTTTGCCTCCTCACACAACCAAAAAAAGGACAACAAATTAAAAACAAAAAACAACCAGAACTGCCAGAAAATCGAACTGTATGGAAGTCCAACAACCAAGGAGTTAAAGAAACATTCATCCAGACCAGCAGGAGGGGCGGAGATGGGCAGCCTGAGCACAAAGGACAAGCGGCAAGGCAGCTGCTGGAGGACTGGGCAGGCAAGATCGCAGCTGGCAGTCCCACATTTGTGTGCAGATAAACTGGGAAGAACAACAGTGGAGCGAGACAGACAGCACAACCCAGGGTTCCCGCATAGGAAAAGAAAGCCTCAAAACCTTTGGATACAAAAATCTGTGGGGATTGAGGTGGTGGGAGAAATTCCCAGCCTCACAGGAGAGTTTGTTGGACAGACCCATAGGGTCCTAAAATGTACACAAATGCACCTACCTGAGAATCAGCACCAGAAGGGCCCAATTTGATTGTGGGTAGCAGGGGACATGACTGAAAGCCAGCAGAGAGCCCAGCAAGCAGCACAGTTCCCTCTTTGACCCCTCCCCAACATACAGCACCACAATGCATCGATGTGAGTTGCCCTGCCCTGGTGAATACCTAAGGCTCCACCCCTTACAACATAACAGGAGCACCAAGACAAAGAAATATGGCCCAAATGAAAGAAGAGATCAAAACTCCATAAAAAGAACTAAATGACAAAGAGATAGCCAACGTATCAGACATAGAGTTCAAAGCACTGGTAATCAGGATGCTCACAGAAATGGTTGAGTATGGTCACAAAAAGGAAGGAAAAGTGAAGGCCATGAAAAGTGAAATAAAGACAAGTATACAGGGAACCAACAGTGAAGGGAAGGAAACCAGGACTCAAACCAATGATTTGGAGCAGAAGGAAGAAATAAACATTCAACCAGAACAAAATGAAGAAACAGAATTCAAAAAAATGAGGAGAAACTTAGGAAGCTCTGAGACAACTTTAAACTTTCCAACAGCCAAATCTTAGGGGTGCCAGAAGGAGAAGAGGAAGAGCGAGAAATTGAAAACTTATTTGAACAAATAATGAAGAACTTCCCCAATCTGGCCAAGGAAATAGACTTCCAGGAAGTCCAGGAAGCTCAGAGAGTCCCAAAGAAGTTGGACCCAAGGAAGTACACACCAGGGCACATCATAATTACATTACCCAAGATAAAAGATAAGGAGAGAATCTTAAAAGCAGCAAGAGAAAAGGAGACAGTTACCTACAAAGGAGTCCCCATAAGATTATTGGTTGATTTCTCAAAAGAAACTCTGCAGGCAAGAAGGGGCTGGCAAGAAGCATTCAAAGTCATGAAAGGCAAGGACCTACATCCAAGATTACACTATCTAGCAAAGCTATCATTTAAAATGGAAGGGCAGATGAACTGCTTCCCAGAGAAGGTAAAGGAGCTCATCATCACCAAGCCTTTATTATATGAAATGTTGAAGAGACTTATCTAAGAAAAAGAAGATCAAAACTATGAACAGTAAAGACAAGCTCACAACTTTCAACAACTGAACCTAAAAACAAAAATCAACTAAGCAAACAACTAGAACAGGAACAGAATCACAGAAATGGAGATAGCATGGAGGGTTAACAGTGGCGGGGGGCGGGGGGGAGAATGGAGGAAAGGGTACAGAGAATAAGAAGCATAAATGGTAGGTACAAAATAGAGAAGGGGGGGCCCTGGCTGGTGTGGCTGAGTGGACTGAGCGCCGGCCTGCGAACCAAAGGATCACCAGTTCAATTCCCAGTCAGGGCACACGCCTGCGTTGTGGGCCAGGTCCCGAGTAGGGAGCGTGCAAGACGCAACCACACATTGATGTTTCTCTCCCCCTTTCTCCCTCCCTTCCCCTCTGTCTAAAAATAAATATTTTTTAAAAAATAGACAAAGGGAAGTTAAAAATAGTATAGAAAATGGAGAAGCCAAAGAACTTATATGTACGACCCATGGACATAACTAAGGGCAGGAGGAATGCTAGTGGGAGGGGGTACAGGGCAGAGTGGAATAAAGGGGAGAAAAAATGGTACAACTCTAATAGCATAATTAACAAAGTATACTTTAAAAAATAAAATAAAATTTACTTAAGTGTTCTGTCACCAAAAAGGGTCACAGCAATCTATACCAATGCTACAATGCAATTTAAAAAATGGTGTGCATATCTAAATTCATTTCTGAACATCTATGCCTTATGATTGTTTGTGACTGCTTTTAGTCCAAAGCAAATTATACAAATTTTAGTAAGGTTTTATGTGAAATTGACCTATGTGCTCGAGTTTCCACTCAACCTCAGGCAATCTCATTTTCCACAACACATTCAGCTCAGAAGAAAATTATGCTTATCAGTCTGGATTTCTGAGAAATGCAGTAAATGTTTTTAAACAAAGTTTCTGACATGAGAAAAGAAATGGAATGGTCCCATTATTCAGAAAAGACCTTGTAAAATATTTGAAAGACAATTTTAGACCTCAATCTACATAAAAACAAAATTCTAAAATCCATTTCAAAAGTAGGTTATGTCAAAGACAAAAGTATGGCATCAGTTCTAACCTTGTAACTCTGTACCTTTCCTCCACCAGAACCCAACAGTCTAAGACTCAAAGAACCCACATTTTTTCCTTAACAGCCTCCACACAGAATGTAACTCAACCAACACTGCTGACCAAATGGCTGTATCACAAGAGTTGCAAAACACAAAACAAATTCGGCTATCACCTACAGCCACTGAGTCTGGGCCAGTATTCAAGACATGAAGCTGAAGTCATGATTACTACATAACTACAAAAGGGAAATTCCAAACCTAGGGTACATATCCAGTTCTGGTTTATTCAGTGGTACAGTCAAAAAAAGAAAACGGTTTGTTCACAAACTGAAAGCAACAATTCTTACCCTCCAATTCCGAATTCGTTTGAGCCTGTTGGGGGTTTTCTCCAGAATTTGTAGAAATTCATGTGTCAGTTCTACAAATGAAATAGAACATTTAAGAAAAACTCACAGAGAGGCTAAAGTAATGAAACAAGAATAACCTCAACTAACTATTTTCATCTGAATCAAATCACCTTTGGCCAGATAGTGACAGATCAAGTGCTTTTCAAGGACCCTTACTCTAAAACTTACCATCTAAAAGTTCCAAGGTCACAGTGGCGTCAACATACTCCCACCAGTGCTTCCCATCAGTTGAGACTGGGATCTCCCAGTTGGACCACTTGCAAGCCAGATGAATGCAGACACAGGCCACTACAGGAGGTGTGTACTGCAGGCTAAATGTGGTCAAATGCAGGCTAACATCAGAGGAAAGGAAACAAGAGAGTATCATGAGCTCTCAATTCTGAACCCAAAGTTAGAACTCTCCATTATTTAAAAAAAAAAAAAAGTAAAAAAATACACTGGCAAGCTAGAAGAGTAAGAAATATCCAGTGCTCTGATCCAGCACTAAACATTACTTTCCATTAACCCACCTGTCCATGTAAAATTTATAAATTTTATAACTACACATCATTCAATCCACATAACTGACCAATAAAAAACAAACAAAAAACAAAAATAAAAAACTAAAACAAACTGGGTACTCAGTTTTTTTAAAACAAGGATCAATTATTCTGAGACTAAGCTCAGAACTTGAGGAAAATGATTAAAATTTTTGATATGTATAATCCCTAAATCAAATACTTAAGGAAATACCCTAGAAATTATCTTGTCTCTTACCAATCATAAGTCTGGACTATCTGAAATAATAAATAGATAAATCACTCTCTCAAGTGTGAATATGCCTTACTGATGGTTTATTTTTAAAATTTCTCCTACCAGTCTATTAAAAGGAACTTCTTAGCCCTGACAGTCATTAGGAATATCTGTGGTTTCCAAGAACAACCAACAGATTGTAGATGAGAATGAGCAAGTCACTTGGTAATACAAGTTATGTATAAATTTTTTTTTTAAAAAGTGAAGAAAAAGTGTTACAACTCTTTATACATATACATGCTCATTTATCTGGGAGTATCAGAAGAACAAGGAGTCTTTTAAAATATCCTAAATAATGCCCTGGCTAGTGTGGCTCAATGGACTGAGTACCAGTCTGTGAACTGAAAGGCTGCTGGTTCAATTCCCAGTCAGGGCACATGCCTGGGTTGTGGGCCAGGTCCCCAGTTGGGAGCATGTGAGAAGCAACTGATCATTGCACATCAATGTCTCTCTCCCTCTCCTTATCCTCCCCTTCTCCCCCTCTAAAAATAAGTAACTGAAATATTTTAAAATATCCTAAATATTGCAGAATCCTCCAAATCAGGTTTTCAGTCACTGTCAATGAATTCCAAGTTTACCAACTTTCAGAACCATGCCCTTTGATATTTTAAAGCTAAGTAACATGCAGAATTAAATAGGTTATCAATTCATAGTAAATGATTATATCACCTTAACAAATTAAGAAGCACCATGGAAACTTAAGGCACAACATAAAGCTGCATAAAATTCGGCATTTTCCATAGAATTTTCTATAAGATACTGTATCAAAGATCCATCCCTGGGTCTTTGAGATCTAGTTTACTAAACGCCAGACACAGTTCCATATGCCTCTCGAAAAGTGACAATCCCAACCCAAGTAAAGTCCTATCCCAAAAATATAAAGGAAAAATATTAAAATATAAACCTGTTGGTTGCCATGAAGTAAGAAGTCTGTGCTAAGTCCTTGCTTGCTGGAAAAAAAAAAAAAAAGGATGAGGGGGAGGGAAAAATTACTAGTTCCATTTATTTTCAACAATAAATTAATAAGCATTTAATATTTGCAAGGTAAAAAATATAGTGATGAGGCCAGCATGGTCCCTGACCACCTGAAGTTTACATTCTACCAAAGAAAGATTAGCAATGTTTAATTATTAATAAATGGACTGATTATAGACCGAGCAACTCAAGCTTTATCCTGTATACCCAGCATCTGACACTTGTTTAAAATGCAATTCATGGGCATTCTCCTTAGAGTTTGATGCAGAATGTTTGGAGAAGGATGTAAGCCTTTTTAACAAGTAACCCAGACATTCTGATGCAAGGGTTCACTAAGAAACACTAAACTAGGGAACAAACTAATTTGGAGGCAAGATCAGAATCCAAAAAACCTTGATATGTTTGAAAAAAGTGATTTGTGGGGTTTTTTTTTAAGTTTTAAATTGAGCAACCTGTGACTTAATCCTGAAATAATCAAATAACAAAATATTTAATATATTACCAAAAGAAAGCTCCTTCTTCCAAAACAAAACAAATGACAGAGCAAATCTTAATCTCCCTTCGATTAAATATCAGTATATATCCATCTCTGTTTAAGCCTGTCCTTGCTCAATGTCAACCACTCAATGCTTTCAAAATATAAAGAACTCAGAAAACTTTTGGAATTTTCAGATAAAACACACATAATCAAAATTCAAAATAAGGCCAATTATCAGTTTGTTCTACAAAGGGCACTGAAATGCACGATGGTGTGTTGATATTCTCGATAACTACTATTTAAACTGAGTAAGAGAAACTAGGTTTCATGCAATTATCACTACTAAAGTTAAATTAAAATAAAAGGAAAGTTCTGCCAAAGGATTGTCAATCATGAAAACAAGTTCAAATATTATCTAAATGATCCTCTGGGTGGTCTTTAAGAATGACTAGAACAATCAACCCTAGAATGAAATTTAGATCACCCCCTCCCAAGATATCCTTAAAATTGCTGTTAATTACTTATAATTTAGTGACTTTTCAAAATCTGCCCCCAGCTTTGCCAAACATCCTCAAGAGGGTTGCTCTCTTTAAATGGAGATCACCTAAACACATTAATTAATTAGCAGATGTGTTATGTATTTATCCACAGCAATCGTAGCCTCTAAGTAGTAAAACAATTCAAGAGCACCATCGCAAGCTGGGATTTCTTACCTCGAACAAGTTGAGTGCACTTTACCACATGTGTATGTGGGTGATCAATTGTTAGTTCAAAGCCTAAAAAAAAGTAACTGGTTAAAAAGCAAAATACTTGAGACATTTTATGTATCTTTTATCTGAGTCATCATTAAAGGCCTCCCTCATTTTCCTATCCCAAAATTGTTATTCAGAGGCTGAGTCACACAAAGTATGCAGCATGCTCTTTTCTAAGAAACAGTATCTCCAAAGCTGCTTATAATATTTTGAGCTAGAAGGTACCACTAAGATAATAAAGCTAATGAATGGAGTCTCAAGATCCCTGAAAACTAGTAACTTCTAAACACAAAACACATTTTAAGGACAACGGAATATAATAATATACGGCTGGATGGAGCAGTTTTAATCAAGTGATGACTATCTTGCACAATTTAACCTTGAGAAAACACTTTAAAACCTATTCTTCTCTCACCTGAGTTTTGTTGCTTTTCATCAGCCTAAGTGTAATAGGTACTGATCATTTTATTCAACCCCAAATGGTCTTTACCAAAATTATTTTAGAAGGATCAGTGTTTCTATAAAATTTTTTTAGTTTCCTTTTGTATATGTAAATAAAATTTTCTACATAAGAAAACCCTAGGCCCTGGCCAGGTAGCTCAGTTGCTCAGAGCGTTGGTCCAATATGCCAAGGTTGTGGGTTCGATCCTTGGTCAGGGCACATACAAGAATCAACCAATGAATAAATAAGAGCATAAATTGGTGGAACAGCGAACTGGTGTTTCTCTCCCCACACCCTCTCTCAAATCAATCAATCAATCAGAAGTATTTTGGATCTTTATTTACAAGCTTGGTGATGTTTTTGTGACCAGAAATATGCTATATGAGCTTAACTCTTATTTAATCAATTAGCCTATGATAAAATTAGTTTTGTTATATATTGCTTCACTTAAAACCAGTTTCAAGAACCTATCAATGAAGTTAAGTGAGGACTTACATATAGTTTGAATTCTCCCACCTACACTCTGCTGTGCTAAACTGATTACCAATTTAAAAATAAATGCTATTATCTAAATATAATGACAGACTACAAAAATCCATGGAAGGAAAAGAGTTCTTTAAATAATTTCTGCCATTAGTTGTATTAAAATTAGAAACTGCCAAACCCTAAAAAGCAAATTATAAATCCCAGAGTGGAAAAAAAGACTGCTAACTGCTATTCCTAAGGTCAGCTGTGCCTTCATTTTTTTCTTTGGTATAGGCCAGGGTAAAACTGAGCTCTATAACCTCTAAATTTGCAAAACCCTTCCAAGAGATTTTCCTCCTGCTTCCTATTTTGCAAATTTTAAAAACTGTATCATACTCCATTGTATATTTCTTTAATGTTTTAAAGGGAAATACACTTACCTAAAGTCTGCAGAATTATGCTTTCTAGTATCACCAGATCTTGAACTTGTTGCAGGTAAGCCTGCAGGTGAGAAGACAGAGGAGGTACAATATATAAAGTACAAGCAATTCTAGCAACCCTTTCCAGAGAAACAAAAGCCACAAAAGGCAGGAGTGGAATTATAAGGTAGAATAGAAACTGAAATTAATCTTTATCCCTATTTAGTACAGATTCTCCTTGTAAGAGGAAAAAAATGTGGTATACTGAGAGAAAACACTTTACTCATGAATAGCTACAGAAAAAGCACCTGAGATGTCGTTCATTTTCAGAATGACATTTTAGGTTTTAAACTTCATTTGATATAGATACAAGAAAATTAAAAAATACATCTTCTTAAACATCATGAAAAAACATTTGCGGAGCCCTCCTACAGGTAATGTAGACAGTCTCAAACATTTGACTCCCATTAAAACTTCCCCTTCAGGATAATGCTAGATTTCTTAAAAATTTATAGGAGAGTTCAAAGAAAAGGGAACAATAATACTGTAAACTACCTCATTAATAATGTTTTAATATTGATTATATGCTGAATAATATTTGTGATTAAATAAAACATATTATAGAAATTAATTTCACTTTTTAAAAGATTATCAATAAAGTTAAAATTTTTTAATTATGCCTGACTGGTGTGGGCCAGTGGGTTACGCACCGTCCCATGAACTTAAAGGTTGCTGGTTAGATTCTCTGACAGGGCACATGCCTGGGTTGCAGGCCAGGTCCCCCAATGGGGGCATGCAAAGGGCAACCAATCAATGTTTCCCTCAAATATCAATGTTTCCCTCTGTCTCCATCCCTTCCCCATTCTCTAAATATAAATAAAATCTTTAAAAAAAAATTTTTTTTTAGCAGCTCTGGCTGATATGGCTCAGTGGATTGAGCGCCGCCCTGCAAACCAGAGGGTTGCTGGTTCAAATCCCAGTGTAGGGCACATGCCTGGGTTGTGGGCCAGGTCCCCAGTGGGGGGTGCGTGAGATGCAGCCACACACTGATGTTTCTCTCCCTTTCCTTCTCTCTAAAAATAAATAAATAAAACCTTAAAAAAAAGAATATGAAGGAACTTAAAAAAAAATTTTTTTTTTTTAAATTACACATGACTCCCCTTATATTTCCATTGGACAGCACTGGCCTAGAACTCTAGGAGAATGAGACTTAGGTCAGGAGTTAGGAAGAGACTTTGTTAGTTACCACGCCACTTAACTTTTATGATCTTTAGTAAGTCCAATAAAGATTTCAACTATGCTTGTTCTTTGTTCCATATTGTAAAGACAATATCTTCCCCTAGTCACCTCATAAGGAATTGAGACTCAGGTGAGAAATTATGTAAATATTCTTCAGAGAAGGAAAAAAAGCAGGAAACTTGTTTCTTTTGTTAAAATAAAATTGTTTTATTTGGCCAATTCTACAGACCAATGACATTCAGTAATCAGTCTCAAACCTAAATAAAAGCCCAGAGCAGTGATTCTTTTCAAAAAGAGCTACTGGTGCAGCCCATAAAGTGAAGGAAGTCAAGACAATGCCATACAAAACACTTAATTCACATAATTATCAATGCGTGCGCACACACACAAATAACCTCCCGACAAAAAACCCATCTTCTCTCATTTGATCAGTAGAACACACAATTCTGTTTATCTCTTTGACAACGGATGATGACTCATGCATCCACTATAAGAGACTTAATCTATTAATTTTTCTCCAAGCACTTACAAATGTCAGACGTCTTGATTTCTGACAACTCACCACTCCCCAATCACTGACTTAATAAAGCTAGGAAAGCTTTTCCCTTCTTTAAGAAAGTTAAGATGGAAGGAAAAAAAATAGCTATATGTATATGCATAGGATAAAGGTCTGGAAGAATATAGTATACTAGAACCGTAATCAGCAGTATCCTCCTAGAAAGAGGAAGGGAAATGCTTTAACTTTTACTTTAAATGATTCTTAAGTGTTTGGATTCTTTTATAGTGAGTACATATAACTTGTAATTTCTTAAAAAGTTCTCTTAGAGGCAGAAAATGGTTAAATACATGTAAAATATAAAACATATATCTTACATAAAATAGATGAAATAGTATCTCCATATTTAAAGCAAGAGGAAAATTAATATAATGGGAAAATATTTGGGATATAGTAAGTGAAAATATACAAAATATATACATGTGTAGCTATTCATACAAAAAAAGCTGGAAATAATAATGCTTCACTTATACTGTATCTACAGTCCAAATTATATCTAGGTCATATTTTTCTTTGTTTTTCTGCATTTCCCTATTTTACTACAATGAACACAATTAATTTCTGCCACAAAATTTTTATGATGTTTTTGTTAAGGAAAAAAAGCTAACACTAAAAAGGTTTCTTTAACAGCTCCCATTTAGACTTCAATAAATCAAATTTGCAAAACTAAGTTACAATCAAAATAAATTAAGAAAAACAGATATGGGTATTTAATCCCCTACCTCACTCCTAGTATCGGGAAGTGATTCCTGCGGATGGAGACAAGCATGTGCTACCTTGATGACATGCTCCAATTTTTTGGGCTGCTCCTCTACTTTGGCTGCTAGAAATAAGGCCGCTGGAGCCACAGACTGTATGGAGAGAAAATCACATTTATTATTTGTTTATTTCTAGCTCAAGCTAGATATAAAAAAGAACTAACTCTCAAACCAGTTTCCTTCTTACTTTCATCACCTAGTTTATGCTTTTTCCTGTACTTAACATGTCCTTCCTGCCCCCCACCCCAATCAATTAACTATATCCACTTTCTTCAACAAACTCTCATTAAAAGCTACCTATTTAAGCCCTGGCCAGTTGGCTCAGTTGGTTGGAGCATCATCCCATGCACCAAAAGACTGCAGGTTCAATTCCCAGTCAGGACACATACCTAGGTTTTGGGTCTGATTCCTGGTCAGGGCACATATGGGAAACAACTGATTGATGTTTCCATTCTCTCTCTGCCCCCTTCCTCTCTCTCTAAAATCAATAAACATATCCTTGGATGAGGATTAAAAAAAAAGGCTACCTACTGAAGAAGCCACTAGATATAAATAGACAGCTTTCCATAAATGAAATTATTAAGTTTGTATCAAAACTTTACATACTTTTTTTTTTAAAGATTTTATTTATTTTTAGAGAGAGGGGAAGGGAGGGAGAAGGGAAGAAAAACATTGTTGTAGGAAAGAAACATCAATCAGTTGCTCTTGCATGCTCACCAGGAACCAAATCTGTAACCCAGACACGTGCCCTGACCAGGAATCCAACCGGTGACCTTTTGCATGGCGGAATGATGCCCAACCAAATGAGCCACACCAGTCAGGGCTACAAACTTTTTTAAAAGAGTAAACTGAAATGTCCAAAAAAGGCAAATCCACACAGACAAGTAGATTAATGGTTGCTAGGGACTAGGAGGAGAGGGGAATGAGAGTGACTGCCTAAGTGTGAGGAGTTTCTTTTTCTGGGGTGACATAAATGTTCTGGAATTAGATCATGGTGGTGGCAGCACAACTCTGTGAATACACTAAAAACCAGTGAAATCTTTAAAAAAGGAATTCAAAGTATAGTAGTATATTCAAGAGGTTCTACGTGGAAGGTACTTACAGGGGAAAAAAATGCAAGCCAATACACAAGTAGATACCAAACTCAAATACTAAAAAATGTAAAAAAGTAGAGCAGTAAAACATACAAGGTCTGTCCAGAAAAAGTTCAACCACTGTTAACATAATGAGAAGGGTTTGCGCAACATCAATGTAACCTGGCATCCAAGGAGAGTGGAACTGGAAAGCGCACACGTGAATAATAACAACTTCACTATACTGGTCAGTGGGGGTGGTAGATGCCATAGAGTGAGCATGTGTACTATGTGGCCGTCGCATTCAAATTAAGTGAGCAAGCAGAGCATCAAATTTTACATCAAGCTTTGCATTCATTAGCAAAACGAATCTGCATCAAATTTCACTTTAAGCATGAACATCCTTCCTCATAAACTATTCAGATGGGCCCCAGATATGGGCAACTAGTGACTGGCAGCTTCATCATGACAATGCACCCGCTCATGCATCACCTCTCATGCAGAGTTTTTTGGCAAAACATCAAATCACCCAAGTGACTGAGCCCCACTACAATCCAGTTTTGGCACCCTGGGACTTAGGCTTTTCCCAAAACTAAAATCATCTTTGAAAGGGAAAAGATTTCAGGCCATCCATGAGATTCAAGAAAATACAACAAGGCTGCTGATGGCGATTGGGAAAAAAGTGTGAGGTCCCAAGGTGCCTACTTTGAAGAGGATGAGGGGTCATTGTCCTACGTATAATGTTTCTTGTATCTTGTATCTTATTCAGTAAATGCCTGTTTTTTTCCATAGTACATGGCTGGATATTTTCTGGACAGGCCTTGTATATGTAGCCTAGTGATCTGGGGAAACTCAGGAAGTAGAACTTCTCTTGAATCTTAATATTTCAATGAATCACAGATGGCAACAACAAGAGCTGGAATGCACCAGGAATAAAAGAAATTTTATAAAACTGAAGTACCTATTTTACTTTAATGAACAGAACTGACATGCATTCTAATATGGAAGTCTCCAATTACACTCTGGGGATACATTCCAAGGCCCCCAAAGGATGCCTGAAACTTCAAATAGTACCAAACCGTACACAGACAGTGTTTTTTCCCTATACATACGTACCTATAATAAAGTTTAATTTATAAATTAGGCACAGTAAGAGATGAACAACAATAACGTAACAAAATAATATACCATAATGAAAGTTACATAAATGTGGCCTGCCCCCTACCTCCTCCCAATTAAGATGGCTACCAAGGAGAACTGCAAAAGATTTCATCACATTACTCAGAAGAACAGTAATCAATTTAAAACTTGTAAATTGTTTATTTCAGTAATTTTCCATTTAATATTTTCAACCATGGCTAACCACATGTGGCTGACCATAAGCAACTGAAACAGCTGAAAGCAAAAGCACAAAGAGGGACTACAGTTGCATCTTTGCTGTTCTCTATTACACTTTGATAGAACCAATTTTTCTTCACAATTCAATTCATAGTCACAATTCTCTTCCTTCTTATCTTCTGCTGTTGTATATGGAGCTTGCTACATATACATTCCTAGAGTTTAGGATTAAGGAAAGAACCAGAGGAAAATGGGCATGAACAAATGTATGGGGAATCAGGGCATGAAGCACATTTTCAGCACTAAACTGAGTTGGTTAAGTGATACAGATGTGGGACACAAAAGATTTCTAACAAGAGTGACACTAAAGATTTTAGAAAAATACTCAGAGGTCAAGAAATATTTAGAAAGATTTATCTGGTGATAAGTGGGACTGAAAGAAGGGATAGGATACACTTAATTTTTAACAAAGGAAACAATAATAACCCAGGCATTGGAAATAAAATTTAGAGTAGGTACTAGCAGCAGAAATAAAAAAAAAAGTTTCCAAATATCACTTGGAAAACTAACAGGGCTTCATTAAACATGTGTATGTATTTTCCTGCAGAGAAAAAATTCTAATGGGATATTCTCCAAAATGGTAACAGGATTATCTCTGAACAGGGAGATTATAGGGAAATCATGGTTTTCTCCTTTATTCTGTCTTCATTTAATTTTATGATGACTATACATTTATAGGGAGAGAAAAATCAGTAACAGTATAACAATTAAAAGGACTTTAAAACTGATTGAACAGAGAGGAAAAGGAAAAGGACAACTCAAAGACAACATTAAGATTTTAAGCCTCCAAATCTGCCTTCAAAGGGGTAAAATATATTTGGAAGGAACTAAAATATGACATACAAAAAATGGCTAAGGCGGCAAAATAGTATCTCAGTCAGTGAAAGCCTGAAAAAGATAAATTTTAATCTAATTTTTGTGCAAATGAGGCACACAAATACTCACTTCTCCTCATGCAATCACCTACCAAGCTGGCTTATCAAAGCCATTTTCCCATCAAAGGCAGTTTATCAGAGAAATTCTTAAACCAGGTATGAGAATAAGATTTTTCTCCATTTTAAAAGAATAATAATGCCAGCTAGTATTTGTTTGCTATGGGCAGGTACTTCGTAAAATAACTCATATAAATCCTATTAACTACTTACCCTATGCAGTAAGCACTATTATTGACTCCAAAGAGATGAGAAAACTGAGGCCTATGGTAACTTGCCCAAAGCCATATAGCTAGTAAGCGGTGCACCAAGGATTCAAATCTAGACATTGTCTGACTCTAGAGCCCATTCTCTCAACCACTAAGTTTGACTTCTTAAGAGTCAACTAGTAAGAGTAAAATACACCCAAATTTGATAGCTATGAAAATACCTGTATTTTAAAACATGTAAGATACAGCATAAACATACGAAGTTGCTCACCACTACTTTTATATTCCCCCACTTGACAACATTTAAAAGCATACATAGAGAAAATCAATTAATGAGGTCGAATTTCTTCTCAAAAACAAGAGTAAATGTTAGGCCAGAATTTAAGTGGAGGAAAAAAACAGTAATTTAATCATACTCACTAAAGAAATAAAATGTACTTCAATCAAAAGGCAAGTTCTCTGCCTTCACTGGAAATACACTGTATCTTGATCTGAGTGGTGGTTTCATATATAAAATAATGCAAAAAGTAATTTAGTTGGACACTGTATCTTTGGGCTTTCCTGTATGTTATACCCTAATAAAAATTTTATTGAAAAAAAAGGAGGCAAGACACTCAAGGCTCCAAAACACTATCAATGAAGAGAACCAACAAAATGAGAAAAGTATTCATAATGTGACATAGAGATCTGATATATAAAGTAGTCATGTAAATAAGAAAATTAGAGTAATAAAACGGGGGCAAAATTAATTGACAACCAATTTTTAAGTTAATTTTTCAATTTCATGAGAGCAATAACCAACAGGCATAAGCGGTTCAACTTCACTAATTACAAAATATAAATTAAAAAAATAAGATTCCCTGTATCTTGCTCACCACTGTATCCCTACTGCTTGTTGACAAGTAGTTAGAACTTAGCATTTCCTGAAGAAACAAGTATTTGTTGTTAGTTAGAATGTAGAGGAAAGGACCCCCTCCCACAGTGCTGGAGACAATGTATATTGATGTAATCTTTCAGTAGGGCAAACTGACATAGCAGAAAGTTTTTAAATGCATGCCCTTTGACACAGCAATTTCACTTATAGGAATATGTATTAAAGTAAACAACAGCCCTGGCTGGTGTTGCTCAGTGGATTGAGCACTGGTCTGTGAACTGAAGGGTCACTGGTTCAATTCCTGGTCAGAGCACGTTTCTGGGTTGTGAGCCCAGTCCCCAACTGGAGGCATGCAAGAGGCAACCGATAAATGTTTCTCTCACATGTGGATGTTTCTCTCCCTCTCTCCCTCCTTTCCCTTCACTCTAATAATAAATAATAAAATAATACAAATAATAAAATTTAAAAAAATAAAAATAAGCTAGAAACAATCCAAATATCCACCACATTAGGGAGCTGGTGAAACAAATTATAGCAAAAATAAAGAAACACTATTATGGTCACATAAAGTCATGAAAAAACAATATGAAAAGATGTCCTATATATACTATTAAGTGATAAGGGCAAGTTGGTAAGAGTAATATAGTAAGATGTGATTTTTAAAAAATACATAAATGCCAACATATGTAGAGAAACATGGTCTGGGACACCATACACCACAACATTTATCAATGGCTACCTCTGTAGGGTGGGATTACATATCTACATTATACATTTCTGTGTTGTTTTAATTTTTACCATGACCATTTATTATTACCTTTGTAATAAAATAACATGAAAAATGCATAGGACCTTGGTAGGACATATAACATACCAATGCCACAACAATGTATTAAGTCCTCTCAAATTCAAATTTGGATTCATCATAGCTAAACTCTTAGAATTAACCTACTAAAGGGGTGATATTCTCAATCTGTTAATTCCAGAATGTGCCTAAAATCAGTTCTCTAGAGGATCAACAACCCATACTAAAAGTCACTGGATTTGAGAAAGATCACAGCATCACAAAGAATCTCTCCATATTGAATAATTACCATTCATTCATTCAACAAGTTTACTCTATTTTCTTTGGAGGATACACAGAAAAGTGAGCCTCTGTCCTTGCTAAACTTAATACATAGGAAATAAGGAAAAATAATTTAAAAGGTAAAAGTAGGTAAAGTGTGTGTGTGCATGTGTGTAGTCCGTCCAGAAAGTATCCAGCCACATAACATGACAAACAGCAGCATTTATTAAAGATACAAGAAACATTGTACATAGGACAATGACGCCTCACACCCCTTCAAAGTAGGTACCTTGAGACCTCACACAGTTCTCCCAATCTCTATCGGCTGCCCTATCATATTTTCCTGAATCTCATCAATGATCTGAAATCTCTTCCCTTTCAAAGGTGATAAAGTTTTGGGAAAAGTCACAAATCGCAAGGTACCAAATCTGGGTTGTAGTGGGGCTGAGTCATCTAGGTGATTTGATGTTTTGCCAGAAAATTCTGCACAAGACACGATGCATGAGCAGGTGCACTGTCTATGATGACCCCATAGCCATGGACTTCTGATTATACAAATAGTTTCCGCAGAGGAATGTTCAAGCTTAATGCAAAATCTGATGCAGATTCATAGCTCTATTTGCTATGAATCTAGTAATTTTGAATGCAACAGCCACACAGTACACATGCTCACTCTACAGCATCTACTGCCCCCACTGACTAGTACAGTGAAGTCATAATTATTCATGCATGTGCATTCCTGGACACTCTCCTTGGCTGCCAGGTTACATCAATGTCACTGTTCTCGTCACATTAACAATGGCTGGACTTTTCCCAGTATGTACGTATGTATGCATTTATTTAGTGAACAAACTGATTTGAGATGTGTTTCATCCTGGATTTCAAATCTTCCCCATAACAGCACTGAATAAAGTTTCCTCTTCACCGCACCTCAAATTGGGGATTCCTGTTGGCACTGAACTGGCATCAACCACCATTGGTTGACACAATGAAAGCCAGAAAAAAGGGTGACATATTGAATGGTTTTACTTATATGAAATGTCCAGAACTGGGAAATCTATAGAGATGGAAAGTAGATTAATGGTAGCCTAGGGCTGGTGAGATAGGGGAATGGTGAGACATAAGGGGCACAGGGTTTCCTTGTGAGGTGGTGAAATACTCTAGAATTCATTGCAGTGATGACTGCATTCATCTGCAAAAACCACTGAATTACATACTGTAAATGGGTGGATTGTATGGTATAAGAATTATCTCTCAATAAATGTTACAAGAAAAAAAATCTTTACCATAATAAAAGGAAAGTAAAAAAACTTTCGGAACTGGCAAAACAGCTATGGACTTACTCTTCAAATTTCATTTTTTATCCACTATCTTCTATTCTACAGCTACCAGACACTCTCATAAAATGCTTCTCTCTCCCTATCCAGGGTATGCTCCTTGCCATCAGAGATAGAGCATGGCTGGAGGAAGGGAATCTAGGGAGAGGAAAAGACAAGCTGACTGGATAATCAACAAAAATTGGGAATAATCAATCCACAAATCCAAAGGGTTTCCTGAGCAATTACTCCCAATACTGGGTCCACTAATGTCTTATATTACAAAAATATGTAGCTTCACAGATCCTCTCCCTATGGCATTAAAAAAAAGAGCTCAAAAATTTATCATCATTAAGTCCAAAAAATTTTTTCTCAAAACAATCTTTAAAAAAAAAGTTTTTAACACACAACTCCATATGAAGTGTTCATCAGTTTTAGCCCTATTACCTATGAGTTTATTCTTACCTAAAACTGGCATATTATTATGAACTCACTTCCAAGTCCTTTACAATAATGTTAAATAGGACCATTTTGGGTAGCAAAACTGAAAACAGCACCATTTACAATTCTGTCCAGAAAAAAAAATTGCTTTATTACTTTATTATTTATTCTTTTTCCTGTCTTAAAAGTTATTTCCAGCCCCGGCTGGTGTGGCTCAGTGGATTGAGTGACGGCCTGAAAACCAAAGGTTCAAGGGGTTCAATTCCCAGTCAGGGCACATGCTTGGGTTGTGGGCCAGGTCCCCAGTAGGGGACGTGCAAGAGGCAACAACACACTGATGTTTCCCTCCTTTCTCCCTCTCTAAAAATAAATAAATAAAATCTTAAAAAAAAAAAAAAAGTCATCTCCAGCCCTTACTAGTGTGACTCGGTTGGTTAGGCATCATCCTGCAAAGCAAAAGGTCGTGAGTTCAATTCCCTGTCGGGGACATGCCCAAGTTGTGATTTCAGTTCCCAGCTGATACGCATATGAGACACAACCAATCTATGTTTCTCTTCCTCTCTTTCTCCCTCCCTTCCCCTCTCTCTAAATATAATCTTTAAAAAAAAAAAAGTCATCCTCAGCCTTATTATTCACCTCTACCTTCCCCCTCCAATCTGTCACTGATTAGAATTTTATCAAAGGCTCTTAAATCTAAAAAACTTATATTCATTAGTTTTCCTGTGACCATATTACTTACCACTTCAAAAACTGCATTTAAAATTAATCACAGTTTCCTCTACATTGCTACTCTCCCAACCCAAATGTTAAGTTTAAGTGTTCAATAATCTATTTCTTTATCAAAGACTCCACCTATTCTAAGAATACACTCAATTTATGAAACAACTAGACACTTCATAGGAAAATTGGAAGGCTGGATTGAGAATAGCAGTGTGGAACCTTATCTAGAACATAATAAGTAACCAATCTTAAATTCTAAACTTTAAATCACAGTTCAACAGCAAAGATCAACAACAAAAGAAATATGAAGTTGGAATCAATAACAAAAGGATTACATCATATAAAAAATTTATACTTACATTTCGATGGAACTGTGTAAAGGACTGAATCATGTAGAATCGATGCATGTATACTATTGCAGTGTTGATAGTCAATTGTGAGCTAAAATGTTCAAGTTAAGGCCCCAAAACAGGCAGGCAGTACAATTCCCAAAAATACCACCTCTATACGCTCCCATAATGACCATGCAAGCTGAGCATAGTAGATGCTCCCAAATGAAAGTCATACTTACCTCTCCACCAAATTATTTACTGCCAGTTGACACTGAGCATACCTTAAACATAACAGATATTCAATATAAATGTGATAAACAAGTTTATCAGCACATGTGAATCAAGACGGAATACAAACAAAACTATATAAGGCCTAAATTTGTCACTTGCCTACTGAAAATCCTCCAACAGTGATTCATTAGCTCAGGATCTCGTCACATGATTGACAATGCCCTCCCTGACCTAGAGCCAGAGATTTGTTTCCATTATCACCTCACCTTCTAATCTCCGGTAATTAACTTTTCAGTTCCACTTCTCTCTGGCAACCAAGCCTTCTCATATGATGATCCCTGGGACCAGAAACACTGTGGAATGATTTGATATTCATTAAGAAAAACTTTTAAATGCTTTATTTCTAAAGACCTCAGAAGACAACAATGGGTATACAGAGATGAGACAGTTCCGTAATGGCAACAACCTTAATAACAACAAGAAAAGAAAGAGCTAGGATGCACTAGAATTTCAAAAAAAAGGTTTAACTCTACACTGACTGGGTACTTAGGAAACAAACTGGATACTGGCAATAAAGAGAACGCCTTCTGAGGTAAGTACTTAAAACACAAATGTTATACAGTCAGCAACACATTTAAATGGAAGCTGTACCCATGGATAATTTTTCACTTCCATAATGAAAAGAACTTCAAAGCTACTTTAGCCTTCTCTGCTATAAAATGAGTGTATTTTCTGAAAAATATGAATTGAATGCTTAAATTCTTTTCAGCCCCATCCATGGACCAGACAGCCGTGGCAAGAGTGGGTCATGGTGGCTAGTGCCAGTGTAGGTACCCTGGTGGCTGGAGCGGTACTGACCCAGTATATATCCACCTTGAAGGAAAGAAAGAGGGCAGAAGACCAAGATCACTGAGATGCCTATAGCCAAGCCCTGCATCTCTAGATATTGTTTACCACAGATGCTGTTGTTCTAGGACAAATTCAAGGGAAGAACTCAAGAGTACCTTACAGAAGACTGGATAACCAAGAAATGACTAAGATTCTGCTATACATGTGAAAAGAATGCCAGAATTCCGTAAGAGTTCAGCTCACATGAAGATCCCTACAAGAGTAGAAATTATCTCTGATCTTATCAAAGGAGGAGCTGTCAAACATCAGATGACAGACTTTGACACTGAGTAGACTTTCCTACAAAGGAAAAGATAACCACATGCCATAATGTCATTGACAACTATAAGCTGGTTTCGGATGAAATGTAAAAAAAAAGGTTACTTCAGCTGAAGGAAAAATATTATGCTATTTAAATTGATCCCATTCTTATCATATGAGTAGTACCCTTATATGATAGAATGGTAAATTACATGGTTTGTTTGAACAGGTTTCACCGAAACCTAAAGAAATTGTGACAGAATCTGACATTATGCTCTAAGAATATGAGAATTTCTCTGATAAGCTCCAACAGAGCATCCCTGTGTTCGTATTATCGTTGGTATCAGTGATGTACTAGATTATTCATTAAGCTGGTGTTTATTATCCAGCCCTGGCTGGTGTGGCTCAGTGAGGTGAGTGCAGGCATGTGAACCAAAGGGTCACTGGTTCGATTCCCAGTCAGGACACATGCCTGGGTTGTAGGCCAGGTCCCCAGTAGGGGACACGTGAGAGGCAACCACACACTGATGTTTCTCTCTCTTTCTCCTTCCTTTCTCCTCTCCTTAAAAATAAATAAAAATTAAATCTTAAAAAAAAAAAAAAAATCTGGTGTTTATTATCCAAGTGTGAGAATAGTGTCCAACTTCACAGATTTTGATGACAATGGGGTATTCAAAGGACTTAAAAAACTAATTCATGTATTTAACAAACATGATGATGCCTGGAAGAGCAGAACATTTCAATCAACTGAAAGACAACAGCATAATTCTCCTTGGGAAACTCCCAAGGAGACTTTAGGCAGACAGGGTAGCCAATGTTGAACACATTTTGAAAATTGAGTAAATGACAAGAATGGATGAGCTTTTAGAAAAGTACATCGACTCTTATGATATTGTTCCCGTAGAAGACAAATCATGGAGGGTAGCCAACTCTAACTTATAGAAGATTCTGTGAACAAGCAATCTTGGAGAAGGCCTCTCTCCTATAGGTGAAACTGACATAAGAACTGCTAGTTTGTTCACCTTGCTGAAAGACTTCTATTTATATTCTTGCTCTGCCAGTTTTTCTTTATATTACTATAGTATTGGATTGGCCAAAAAGTCCATATGGTTCTTTTCCATAAAATAAAAGACACATTTTCCATTTTCACCAGTAACTTTATTGATTTGGCTATTTTGAGTATGTTGGCTATCTCCCACATGGTATAACGTTGATTATTCTCAATTAATGTCACAATTTGATCACTATCAATTTCAACTGGTCTACTGAACCCTAGAGCATTGTGCAGCGAGAAATCTCCAGGATGAAACTTCATAAACCACTTTTGACACTTTCAATCAGTCACAGCACCTTCTCTATACACTGCACAAATCTTTTTTTTTTTTTTTGCATTTCAGTTGCGTTTTTACCTTTCTTGAAATGATAAAGTATAATAGGCCAAAAATGTTGCTTATCTTCTTCCATCTTCAATATTAAAATGGCTACACAAAAATTCACCCATTTGGTAAGTTTTTTTAAAATGCAAACTGATACGGCAGCTGTCACAACACAATCTAACAAAACTGTTTTGAATGAAGTTAAAGACAACTAAGTCCTACTAGAGCCATCTTAAGGAAAAAACCAAATGAACTATTTGGCCAACCCATTTATTTTCAGACATGTTCAATCCATCAACTGGAAGCTTTTTCTCCACTTCTCTCAACAAGACTCCTTACCATATTTTTTAACATTAAAATACATAAATCTTCCTTTTTGCCTGATATCTTAGCAAACCTGCAATGGTAGCAGCTGCTCTTCAAGTTTTGCTATGCCGTGCAAGGACAAGAAAGATGCTGCAAAGTTGGTACAGAAATACAAAGACCCAGTAAACAAATCTGGGGGCAAAGCAAAAAGTGGTCCAAAGGCAAAGCTCGAGACAAGCTCAACAACCTAGCAGTGTCTGACAAAACAACATATGACAAACTGTAAGGAAGTTCCCAACTATAAGCTTTTAACTTCAGCTGTTGCCTCTGAGAGACAGAAGATCCAAGGTTCCTTGGCCAAGGCAGCCCTTCAGGAGCTCCTCAGTTAAGGACTTAATTAGTTTCAAAACACAGAACTCAAGTAACTTACACCAGAAACACCAAAGTTGGAGATGTCCCAGCTGCCCGTGAAAATATATGAACAGGACCCACCAGCTGTATATTTTGAAAAATAAAATTTTATTAAGTTAAAAAAATCTTAAGGTTAAAATTTGAAAAATAACTCCCTTCATTTTCAGAGTGCATTTTGTTAATTAACGTTATGATGTTTCTGAAGAGACTTTTACACTGAAAGTTTGTGTAAGTTTACAAAGAAGTTTTATGAAACGGTGAAATAATGTGTATGGTTTTAAATACTGCCATTTGCATAATTTGTACAAATTATGCTGATGGCATCACCACCCACTGAAACTGTTATGTTGGCTAATCTGTTTTGGGAAATTGATACTTACTAGAAAATACTGGCACTTGGTGTTTGAAAAACTGTTGATATGTACTTGTTGAAGTAGTGACAATAAACATTAAAGCGAAAAAATGCTTAGGGGGGAAAAAAATCACTAAATTACCTGGTCTCTGAAATAAAAGACAAATACACATTAACACTGAGTATCTTTAAAATCCAATGTTACTCTTTTTTTAAACTGTGGAGAATTTTTATAAAAATCTACACCTAAAAGAGGATATGTAGGAAAGCAAGGTGTTAACAGACTGAGAAAAATGCTTCCAAAAATGCAACATTTTTCCTAAGTTTTTTTAAGCCGTTAGATCTGCACGTCTACAACCCTACAGATCTTAACTGACATTCCCCTTCCCTCTGAGATTCTTGAAATTCTAACAGTAGCTACTATTTGAACTTGAGTGTCACGCATTGTGTTGGCCATAGTAATTTGGGCTGAGGTGGCTCACCTCATCTTACAGACGAGAAAACCAAGAATGACAGGTTTCTTAAACAGCTAGTAAGTGGGAAAAACGGACTTTGAACCAAAGCTGGGCATATATATTCTAGGCCACTCTTTGTAAGACCTTCAGGTAATTCAAGAGGCAATCATCAACGGTAAAACCTCCACCAAACCTTCTAGGACATAGTAGAAAAGCAGAATCTTAAAGTCACCACAACAGATCAGAATACACCGAAATAGGCATAAGAAGGGCGGGTTATAACACAAAGCCGGGAAGCACACGAATTCCCGACAAGGTTGGTGGCACTGGTGAGCGAGCGGGAAATTAACTCCGCCTCGCCACCCTCGCTCGAACACTTAACTTCAGCTTGCCCCATCATAGTCTCTCCCAGCTAAATATCCAGCCCCTGCCCACCCTCTTCCCCCTTCTGTCCCTGACACAGCCTGCGGCCTGGACGCGAAAGCAAGAGAGGACTGACTCCAAGGCCGAAGGCCTAGGCCGCAAGGATACACGTTAAGACGTTGCCCCATGTCCTGGAGCAGATTGGCCGCCTGCTGACGATAAGAAAGTTCTTTATCTGGGTCCAGGCCAAAACGACGGGATGGGCTATTTTCCAGCTGTTCTCGAGTAAAATACCACCGTTTGTTGTTGTTCTTCCTCTCTTCCTCCATAGTGCTTCAACCAGAAGGCAGCGGCGAAGGCTGCAAGCGCTTCCTAGCGTCACTTAAGCGGCGACACACATCCGCTGCGCGGGGGAAACCGCGCCGTGACGAACTTCCGCTAAGAGTGGACGGCTAGGTTGTGACACGCTTCCGCCAAGGAGTATAGTTGAAAGCTACTTCCGGAATGGACCTCGCGAAAGCCTGTAGCCGAGTAAACAGCCAGTAGGCAAGCAGGAAAGACCTTGGGTCGGGGACGCAAGCGCCAGTCCTGTAACTCCTCGGAGGTGGAGCGAGGTTATAAATTTTCATTCAAAAGCACGTCTCCTCTCGCGAGAACGGGGTTGAGCGTTCGCGCCCTGCGCCAGAGGGTGAGGCAACATTTGTGGCGGGATGAAGCGACCGCCCACGCGCCGCTCTGCGGCTCCTCGGAGAATTGGTTTGGGGCTGAGGTGGCATTATAAAATGGGGCAGGAGAGAATCTGACCCAAGAAATAGCTGAGAATGTCAAAAACTGAAAAAATAATCAAGAGTTGCCCTATCTTATGTCGTACCGTAAAGCAGCTAGAGGGCTCTCACGTTGTTGAGAACAGTATAAACAGCTTCGCCACAGTGACCCAACTTAAAGGAATAAAATGAAATAACATTCATTTAGTGCGTAACATGTTCCAGGCACAAAACTAACTCTAATATACTCTTTAATGGGCACAACCCCAACAGGTAGTAATAATTTAATTCCTGTTTTGCAAACGGGTGAACTAAAACTGCTTTTTCAGTTTTACGGGTGGAAAGCTTTACCACCACCCTGCACACACACAAGTTTTTAAGGTCCTGTCCTCTGTCAGGAGTTAGCCCAGCTCCAGTGTTTTATGGCTCTTTGCTTTTGGGCAGGATACTTAACCTCTCTGTTCCTCTTGTACAAATGTGAATGGTAGTAATAATAGCCTTCGTTTTAGGTTGTAAGAAGAATTTTAAATGAAGATGTAATGAGTTAAAAGCATTTATAATAGTAGCTGGCACATATAAGACAGATATTACAGTAGTGATCACATATTGATACTAAAGACAACAATGCCTTCTTCATTCTTGTATCCTTAGCACCTACCTAATACAGTCCGTAGTTAATAAATGTGAAATAAATGCTCACAATACCCTACAATTAAAAAATCCGAGGCTCAGGGAGATTAAGTAGCTTGCCCACTAGTATCTATACCACTTATATGTGTAGATTTTAAGATTTTATTTATCTATTTTTAGTGAGAAGGGGAAGGGAGGAAGAAAGAGGGAGAGAAACATCCATGTGTGAGAAATAGGTTGCCTCTTACATACCCACAACTGGGGACCTGGCTGGCAACCCAGGCCTGTGCCCTGACTGGGAATGGAACCAGTGACCTTTCAGCTGGCAGGCCAGCACTCAATCCACTGAGCCATACCAGCCAGGGCTATCTGTATAGATTTTAAATGCAAGTCTAATTTTATTGTTCTTTACATTTTAGCAAACTGTATCCTTGCGTTTTTGGAATACTCATCTTGATTAAATTTTGAGCAATAGCAGAGTCATTTGTCTTTTATAATATAATAGAATTAATAGAATAAAATAATCAATCTTTCTGACTCCATTTTTTTTATTTTTTAATCCTCACTGTAGGATTTTTTTTTTTTTTAATCTTAGGAAGGGTAAGAGAGAAAACATTGATCAGTTACCTCCAATGTTCCTAGATCAGGGATCAAACCCACAACCTGGGTGTATGTTCCCTGACCAGGAATGGAACCTGCAACCTTTTGGTGTACCTCCAACCAGCCTAGCCACCTGGCCAGGGCTTTTTGACTCCATCTGGCTCCTGCCTGACCTGTCATTTAGCTACTTCTGCTTAGTCCTGCAGATAGATCTGCTTATCATTAAAGTAATCTAACCTGTAGCCAAGAAATTACTGAAACATTTCCTGCTTGAAAGCACCTTCCCAAGGAGATATGGGAGGTATGTACAGAAACAATGATTTATAGGAACCTTGTGACTGAGTTTGAAACCCCTCTCATTCCTCCCTCCATTCATTAATTCATTCTCAGTAGTATTTCTTTCCATTTCAGGCCCTGCTTTGCCATATACTGCCTCCAGTTAGTCTTAGCTCCATTTACTCTGGAAAAAAATAAAAAGCCCTGGCTGGTGTGGCTCAGTGGGTTGGAAGAAATTGATGTTCAGGAAGATTTAAGTTACTCACATCAGGTTATAACATTGAAAAAACTAATGACTTTACACTTTTTTCATCGCAGACTTTTAAACAAACTAAGCACTTTTTCAATCATGTATATTGTCTTTTAAAAGTCAAATTTATTTCTCCCAGATCCCTTTTGCTTATTTCTCTGGCATGTGTTTGTTTCTCCACTTAATATCTTAGATCAGTGATTTTCAATTGATGAGCCATAGAATTTTTAAAACATGAAATACCTGACTGTTTAGTCATGGGCACTGACCTCTTTCCCCTTAGACTGTCAAATTAAAAAAATGACAACCATTGACACAACAATAGCCATCGGGTGAATCAAAATTATGCCTGTTTTTTGTCAGATCAGCAAAAAATAATAATTTTTTTTGATGTGCTGCGGAATTTCAACCAGTTTATGTATGCCTTTTTCATCATGAGATGAAAAAGATTGACAATCCCTGTCTAGGATTGATGACTTCATTTTGAATTTACTATTCTGGCTGAGTATGCCAGTCTTCCAAGAAAAAGTTCTGGTATCTGTATGGCTTCAGGCACTGGACCTGCTAATCAATGGCTTATTACCCTGCAATACAGAAGAGGAGGACCTGTGTAAATCAGAGAAAGAAAATATTCTTTGACTGAAAATGAAATTACTTGAAAGTAGGCAGCAATTACAACATAACTGATACGAGTTTTTGAGTCTCCTGGATTCAAATTCCAGCTATTCCTTTTTTTTTTTTAAACCATCTTAACCATTTTTAAGTGTACACATCAATAATGTCTACTACATTCATATTATTATGCAACAGGTCTCTACAACTTTTTCATTTTGTAGAACTGAAATTCTCTTCCCACTGAACAAGTCCCCTTTTCCCCCATTCCCCCAGTCCTGACAACCCCTATTCTACTTGGTGTTCCTATGAGTTTGACTACTATAGATACCTCATACAAGTGGAATCATATAGCACTTATCTTTCTGTGATTAGCTTATATCACTTAGTATAATGTTCTCAAAATTCCAAAAATTCTATTCTTTTATTAACTGTGACTTAAATGTCATCTCTGCATCCTAACAGAACACCATCTGGCACATTGTAGTTCAATACATGTTTATTGTCAAAATAATGTTAAGCCCCAGCCAGTGTGGCTCAGTTGGTTGGACACCATCCCACAAACTGAAAGGGTTTGATTCCCTGGTCAGGGCACATACCTGAGTTACAGGTTCAGTCCCCAGTTGGGGAGCGTGCAGAAGGCAGCGAGTCAATGTTTCTTTCACATTGATGTTTGTCTCCCTCTCCTTCTCCCTCCCCTTCCCTCTCTCTAAAATCAAAATAATAATAATAATAATGTTAACCTTCTGCCCTTAAAGAACTGACAAAATCTCAAGCCAGAAGAATTTTGTTGTTGTTAATTTAAATAGGGCTTCATTTTCTGTAAATCACACCTATAAGGCTACTCTTCTTATTTACTAGACTAATCAGTACAGGATTATACCATATTTCATGGTTTAATTTTATTTTGCATTGTGCTTTGGAATGTCATTTAAATCTTGTCAGACATTACCACTTACTACTGTTAAAACAATTTTCCCCAACATTCTTATAGTTTCCAAATTAAAACATGAAAAGATGTTGTGCTCTTCCAAACTATCCCTAATTCCACATTCAGCGATGCGACATGACAGTTTGTGAAATTGGCCGCGGTGCATGTGTTTTGGTAATTAACAACTCGCTATCTAGAAAAATAACTATGTGTATGTATATGTCCATAAAGTTTATTATAAAATTTACAGATATAAAGGATGTGCAGCACACAATTTACTAAAAGTGAAATATGCAATTTTATTTATTGTAAAGTTTTTACAGGCAAGTGATTCTCACAGAATGCTTTCATTTAGTTTTACCAAACTCTTGAATCAGGAATTTCAAGCTAACAATGTGACATGACTGATCAAGAAATTGGGAAGAGATGAATACACAATCACATAGTATACCCAAATAGAGAGGGACTTCTGGTTTCCAGTAGGCCGTGTAAAGAGAATGAAAGTCATCACCCCTGTTCTCACTATCATAAAAAGAGTGAACAAATTGAAAATCAACAAACCTTCTTAAATGCATCAGAGAACTGAGGTGACAGGGCAACCTCTACCACAAAAAGCAAGAGAAAGGTGAAATCAGAACAGAGATTTGTGGCTCACTGGAAGCAAAAATCACTACTGGAACCAAGAACTGATAAGAATACTTAAAGGGCAATTGACTAATTGCTGGTAACTTGAAATTGGACTATACCCAAAGATTAAGAAAACTCCTGGGGCTCAGCCTTAAGGAATCCCCCACATTCTTTTTTTACATTCAGGAATCCCACAGGTATTACTATCATCATTAAGATATTTTTGGGAAAAATTCTCATCTTTCCAGCAAGGAGACAGGGAAAGTAACCATTTTAAAATACACCCAGAGCATTCAGTTCTTAACAAAGGCCTGCCCCCAAGGCAAACTATTTAAGGCTTAACCAATGTGAAAGAAGGAAAACAACCAACTCTAGCCACCTGTAGCTTTCTTATTTCACCTTCCGGAATAAAAAAGACAAGAAACTTTTGTGAAGGTCGCAGTCCAGGAACACAAGCTCACTGAAAGACTGAGTCCTAATAGGATTAAAGAACACTTCTCTACCCCCCCCCCCCCCAACCCCTGCCGCCACCCCCGCCCCCCCCCCCGTTTTACCAACACATCAGTACAATTCCTATGTAATAACAGATCATTACAGCTGGGAGAACTATAAACTCAGACTATTTAAGGAGTCTCTAGGGAAACCCAAAGACAAGGAGATTTTAGCTTCTGACATGCACAGCTATAGCAAACAGGAAACAGCCTAACTTCCAGCCTGATACCCAGTATATAATGCCTGACTTTCTACCAAAAAATTACAAGGCATGCTAAAAAACAAAAAAATACAGTCTAAAGAGACAAGGCAAGCATTAGAACCGGATTCATATATGGCAGAAATTTTTGAATTATCAAACCAAGAATTTAAAATCACTTATGACTAATATGTTAAGGACTCTAATGAGAAAAGTGCACAACGTGCAAGAACAGATGAGTAATGTAAGCAAAGAAATGAAAATTCCAAAAATTAAAAGAAAATGCTACAAATCAAAAACACTGTAACAGAAATGAAGAATGCCTTTGATGGGCTTAGTAGACTGAACACAACCAAGGGAAGAATCAGTGAATTTGAAGATATGCCAATAAAAACTTCCCAAACTGAAAAGCAAAGAGAAAAAAAGGAATAAAAAAAACAGAACAGAATATCCGGATACAATAGCTGTAAATAACCTCATGAGTATAGATAATAAAATGTAAAATAATTAGGAAGAGAAGAGTTTTTAGGTTTTACTACTTTAATGTAATTTGTTCAATTCTAATTTTTAGAATAATGGTTGTTTAAAAATCAGCTCGAAAAATTTCTGAAAGTTAAGCAAGTGGCTCTCAAAAGTAGATACAAACTGGCTCAGCACTTGAAATAAAGACTCATTAGAAGTACCACAATATGATTTAAATACTGTTTGCTAAGGTTCCGTTATATGCTGAGCACTATGCTGAGGAAATTTGCATACGTTATTTCCTTTAATTATCACACACACCTCCATGAAATAGATACCATCTCCATTTTTTTTTTTTTTAATGAAAAGAAAAATGAGGATTACTCTATTCAAAGTGAGGCAACTAGAATAAGTTGAAACTAAGATTTGAGCCCAGGTCAGTGCTCTTTCTACTCACTGCCTTCTGGAGCTTACAGTATAATAAAACTGGGGGCAAGTAAAAAGATGACTGGCAGTTGATAACTCCATTTTCCTGAAGTTATTTAGCCCACTCCCACTCCAGCTTCATTATGAACCCATAAATCAAGAGACTCTTTAGACAAAGGGAATGTCAATTACAATAATTCATCAGAACATTACCATGGTTACCAAAACACAGAGTTCAGTGCTCCAGCCTGGACCTTCCAGAAGAGGACAGAGAGAAGCTGAGATGGCCTTCTTCAACTTATATCTACTGGGATATCAAAATTCCTTTCGTCACAAGAAAAGGGACACAAGTGAAAAAACAAGTAAGGGGAATATATATAGTAAAGGGCTAGAAGGCCCACTTCTTGGCCATTTCTTTTCCTACTTTGGGTTAGAGATTTATCTCCCAAGATTAACAACTACATTAGTTAAAATTATGGAACAGACAGAGTATCCATTCAGGCTCCCTTTCCTGTCACTTAATTTCCTTATTAAGATACCCAATTTGTTCAACCAAATAAATGTATTCCTTTGCTCATTTAGCCAACATTGATTAAACATCAACTTTGTGCAAGGCTTTATGTTGGTGACTGGGATTACAAAGATGGATAGGATAAGGCCTCTGCCATAAAGTGCCTGACTATCAAATGAAGATAAGTATGCAATGAGAAATTTTGCATTATTGTGTGGGATTAAATTAAATATGGAACGCTATGGAGACACAAAAAGGAAATACCTGATACTGTTAGATTTGAAGTGAGAAGGGGGGATCCTTTAGAGAAGACCTCACACACAACTGCTACTAGAACTGAGTGATTAGAGTTCGAGTAGAAAAGAAAGGAATATGGCACAGATGAAGGAACAAAAACTTGAGTTACGTTATGTAAACACTCAAGTCCTTGGGTACAGATAAATGGCTAAGTAAGCAGATGCTGGGGACAGGCCTTGAAAACTACGCAGGGCCAGCCCCAACAGGTGTGGCTCAGGTAGTTGGGCATCATCCCACAAAGCAAAAGGTCACCAGTTTGATTCCCATTCTGGGCACATACCTGCGTTGCAGGTTCGGTCCCCGGGTCACGGTGCATACAAGAGGCAACTGATCATGTTTCTATCTCACATCGATATTTCTCTGCCTCTCTTCCCCTCTCTAAAAATAACTAAAATCTTTTTTGAAAAAACTAGGCAGAGCCAGATAATTGAAAATGCTGTTAATCATGCTAAGCACTTTAACTTTATAGGGAGCTGTTGAAGGATTTTTAGTTGGCAGTAAGTATCAGATTTGTATTATATCCACAATGCCTAGTAGCGCCTCATACATAATAGAGGTTCAATAAATACAGGGTTGGACAAAAGTAGGTTTATTTTTCCTACCTTGGGTTAGAGATTTATCTCCCAAGATTAACAACTACAGTAGTTAAAATTAGTAGTTGTTAGTATGGAAAAATGTATAATATAAGAGTAAGCTGTGTTTCACGTACTCACAACTGTAAACTTTTGTCCACCCCATACAGTAAATGAATGAGTAAATAATATAGAATGACTAACCAAAACAAGTTAGGGAAGGATTTGCAGGAGATGCGACAATTGATTAAGGTCTCAAAAGATGACTCCTTTGAAAGCACAGAAATGGAGAAGAAAGGATTTTCTGGGCATAATAGAGAGCTCATGAAGGAAATTAAGTATAGGCAGGTACTAAAGCAAAAGTTATATTGGGATGAGGGATGGGGGTTACTGGAAAAGTATAAAGGACAAAGTTAAGATTGTGAAGGACTGATCTTGTATAAGCCTCCATTGGGCATTCTCTGTCCTCTTCCTAGTTCCATTGTAGAAGCTCTGTTTTACATATTCAGCTTCCAGGTGAGACTTATAAAAAGAGTCCCACTGGTGGGCCCTAGGGATCCCTTAATAGCCCTACACCAGCCCTCCTCATTTGCCCCCATTTATCTGGGTCCCAGCATTATGCCATGGGATTACTATTGTCTCCGAATAAGGAGTTCTTCATCCCTTCTCAGAGAAACACACTTGGCCCAACCCACTAATTTCCCTTATTCCAGGCCAAGAGTAGGCCTGTGCTGGCTGCTGCAACCCTATTTGCCCCTACTACATAGGACTTCTCACCATGAGAGAACTAAGTATAAAGCCTGGAATTTTCCTATCCAATTAGTTAAACACTGGTGGACAAGACTTGGTACCAACCCAAAATGGCCTGGGTCTCATTTCTGATCGATTTCTTTTAGGGTAAGCAGAAAGACTTCACTTTATAAAAACTGGGGTCCTCTGTGGGATGAAGAGAAAGTATCCTGATATCATCTGCTTACCCAAGTTTTTTCATTCAGACATCAGAAGCCAGATTCTAGGCTAAATTGCTGGCCTAAAATGTAAGGTTAGAGGGAAGACTGGACATCAAATTTGCCTCCACTAATCCCCTGCTTGCTTCCCCAAACCCCTTCAATTTTATACCCTCTGGTTGCCTCTCAGGATTTGGACAGAAGAGATCCACTTGCTAACTCCTAATTAATCCCTAATTTTGTTGATTCAGATATTTAATAATAACTATTTATTTAGCATGTACTGTGTTCCAGACATTGTGCTGAGAACTCTACATGCATTATTTCATGTAATCCTCTCAGCATTCCTGTGAGGTAGATATTACTATTCCCTTTTTACCAATAAGGAAACAGGCTCAAAGAGGTTAATTTATTTATCCAGGGTCACAGCGATAGAGCCAGAATTCTATTCCAAACTGTCAAACACCTGTGAGCAGACCACTGTAAAAATGATTGATGGTCAGCCTTTCTAGGAAAATCTATTAACCTCTAAACCCTGAAGTTTGAATGTTAGGTGGACTTTACCTAGAGTTATTTAATTTCCTGTTCCCCAACAGATGGTTCTCAAGATTTTCAGGAGCCCACCATTCACTGGAGCTGAATGTAACTCTTTGCTCAGCTAATGGCCAGAATTGTTGACTTTGGGACTTCTTTATTGGAATCAACACCTTGTAACCTTCTCCCAGAGCCCCTGAGCAACTTCCCAAGAGAGTTAGAACACTCTACAATTTTACAGTAGTGTTCTGCAAGAGTATAAAAGAATAACCGGTAGGTTCCTTCGGATCTTTTTCTTTTTTTAAACATGCACACACACTACAGAATCATCATTATGGGGTCCACCTATTATATGCAGGTACCAAAACAATAGTTTGACTTGTTTTCTGTGCTTAAAACTCGAACCTTGCTGGACTTATTAGTAAAAACTCAATGCTAGAAGTTCAACCATATCTTATATCTCCAAATAAAACTACAAACTTTCACGTCTAGGACAAGAAGTTAGTGAAATCACCATTTGACAAGGCAATTAGTTACCACTGATCATCTTTCCAGGAGGCATCTTGAAGTAAATGTGGCCCATCAGACCCTGGAGTGTGGTTCACCTAATCAGTACCCCTAAACTTCTAACCACCAAGTAGGGATCCCTGGTATAAACCAGCCCCTAGACATCAAGGTAGCAAGCTTGGATCAATTAGTAAGTCCTATATAATAAAAGTTAGGTGCAATTACAGTAGAATCTTAGCAAGTAAATAGTTGGTTAGTTCATTTAAATTAAGGGAGATTACAATGTAAATTGGGGAATCAAGGAAAATTATATTTCTTATATATTTTAGTTTCACTGAATATGTATAACTGTAGATTCACCATTTTTTTAATACAGTGCAAATCCCTTTTCTTTGAAATATGTCTACTGATGTATTTTCCCACTCTGTGTATCACCCACAATTTCCATCTGGGTTTATTTAAAGTGGATTCAGGGGTTTGCAAAGCAAACTTACGTTGTAATGATTTTCCTCAAATCTTTTAGTTGTCCCTCTCATGTCTAATCAACAGAAATATTTAAAAGTTACCTTTTACTTTTTTTCAATCCTCATCTAAGGATATGCTTTTTTGTTAATTTTAGAGAGAGAGGGAGAGAGAGAAACATCGATGTGAGAGGGAAACATCAATAGGTGGCCTCCAGCACACACCCTGACTGGAAAATCTAACCTGTAATCTTCTGGTGTTTGAGACAACACTCCAACCAACTGAGCCACCCAGCCAGGGCAAAAGTTATCTTTTTACTTCATTTTCAAAGTATTAAATATGAAGAACAGTGCTAAAAAGGTTTATAATGAAAAATAAGAATTTTCTGCCCTAGTTCTCTCAGCTCCACCCTTCAGAGACAGTCATTTTCACCTATTTAGTTTCTTTTGTACTTCTAAGGAAAAAGTTTACATGCATGTATTGATTTATCTCTTTGTGGTTATAGTATATTGCTTTCCTGATATGACAGTTGAGAATTTAGCTTTCTTATACCATACCCTGCTCTTCCACTCTCCCACCCTTGTTTTTCCAGTTTAGTTATATTAAGCAAAATTTTAAGAATGGCCCCCAATGAAACTTCCTCTTTTATAATCCCTATCCCTTTGAGTGTAGGTGGAATCTCGGAATATAATGGATGACACTCTGGTGATTGTTACTTCATATTGAGAAAAGGAGATTACCTGAGTAGGCCTGACATCACACAATCCCTTTAAAAGCAACATTTTCCCCAACTAGCAGCAAAAGAGGAATTCAGAGATTGGAAGCATAAGTGGGATTTGACACATCATTGCTGCCTTTGAAAATGGAGGGGGCCACATGCCAAGGAATGTGGGTGGCATTTAGGAGCTGAGAGGAGCCTGGCTTACAGCCAGCAAGGCCTGTTTAGATTCCACATATAAGTGAAAACATATGGTGTTTGTCTTTCTCTGTCTGACTTATTTCACTTAGCATAATATCCTCTAGGTCCTTTCATGTTGTCTCAAACAGTAAGATTTCATTCTCTTTTATGGCCAAGTAATATTCCATTGCATATGTATGTATGTGGTCAATTAACTTTTCAACAAGAGTACCAAGACAATTCAATGGGGAAAGAATAGTCTTTTCAACAAATAGTGCTGCATAAACTGGATATCGACATTAAAATAATGAAATTTGACCACACCTCATACCACACGCAAAAATTAACTATGAATTAAAAAATCATAGACATAAATGTAAGAGCTAGAACTTTAAAATTCTTGAAAGACCTTGGATTAAGCAATGATATCTAAGATATGACACCAAAACCAAGCAATAGAATGAAAGCTAAATAAGTTAGACTTCATCAAAATTTTATAAGTTTTTTAAATGTTTGGATTACAAGACAGATTTTAAATAATAAAGTATAAACCATTATTAAGTTAGTAATCATGAGAGAAAATTAAAGCTGTTAAACAGTTATGTGAATAAAAGCTGTGGGCGACTCATAGATA